ACTGTGCAGAATATAGTCAAACACTGCTGCAGTTAAATATTCTACTCTTGTTCGCCCTGCATGATCTACAATAATAATCTGCTTCGTGTTGATATTTACTGCTTTGTTGCTGACAATTACCTGAAAGAGAAGTTGGAGTGCTTCACTGGGCTGGAAAAAGTTTAGCTAAATCAGAAAGCAGGTCTAAATAAGCAAGTTTATTCTATATCTATAAAAGGCTAAGTTGACTCGTGCATGCACGATACATATAAAGCTCTCGCTGGTGCCAACTGCACATGTGTTTTGATGTGTCATTGTCAATCGTGAATTTGGTTGACACTTCTATTATAGAGAAAGGACGAGTAGCGATATTAAATATTTCTTCTAATTAATTTCCTTTCAATGTGCACAAATTCGTGCACTGGGCCACTAGTATTAAATATTTTTATCTGTTATCTCATTAAGTCTTCAAAACAATCCTCCCAGGTAAGTATTCTTTTTAAACTCACTTTACAGATCAGGAAATTAAAGTTCAAAGAGGTCCCCAGAGAAAGCCTCAGCGGGAGTACAGTGTATCTGGGAAGGATTCTCAGAGGAGGTGCCACCTGGGCAGGGTTTTGAAGCACAAGTAGGAATTACTCAACTACAGAAGAGCACGAGGTATTCTAGAGAAAGGGCACAGTGTCTGCAAAGATAAAAGAGCATGTACCTGCAGGGAACTACAGACAGCTGGAGTAAAAAAAAAAAAAAAAATGAGGAGAAGAGGTAAAGCTTTCGAGGGAAGCATGAAGAGGAGAAGGGGAGCCTCATAGGCCACAGGAAAGAATTTCAAGGTCATGGGGCTGTCACTCTCAACCTGTGGTGTGCATCAGAATTACAAAACCATGATCAAAAGTCTCCTCCACACAGTCTGAATCAGCACAAAACCATGTCAAAAGTCTCCTCCACACAGTCTGAATCAGCAGACCTAGGACAGGCCTCAGGAATTTTTGTGTGTGTATGTATATGTGTGTGTGTGGGAGGGGGTGCAAACAGCTTTATAACATATAACTGACATATAATAAACTGTACATATTTAATGTATACAATTTGATAAGGCTTGACATAGGTATATACCCATGAAACCATAACCACAATTAGGGTTATGGATTGGGAAATATCTCCTTTCCCCTGTTCCTTAAAACTTTGTAGAAGAATTTGAGTTGACTTAGTATTATGTCTTTCTTAAGTGTTTTGTAGAAACTCATCAGTGTGGGAAAGTTTTTGTAATTTATAAGTTCAATTTCTTTAATAGATAAAGGGTTATTCAAGTTAACAATTTATCCTTGAGTAAGCTTTAGTAATAGGTGTCCTTCAAGGAATTTGCCCAATTCAACTAAACTGTTAGATTTATTGGCATAAAGGTGTTCATAATAGTCTCTTCTTATCCTTTCTTTATCTGGAGAAGATGTAGTGATAGCACCTCTTTTATTCCTGATGTAGGAAATTTATATCTTCTCTTTTTTTTTCCCTGGTCAGTCAAACTGGAGATTTATCATTCTTACTGATCTTCTCAAAGAACCAGCTTTTATTTCCATTGATTCTCTCTACTGTTTTTCGATAGTCTATTTCATTGGTTTTCACTTTGATCTTTATTATTTCCTTTCTTCAGCTTATTTGGGTTTTATTTTTTCTCCCCTTTCTAGTTTCTTAAGATGGGAGCTGAGGTCATTGATTTGAGACTTCTTTCTTCTAATACACCCACTTAGTGCTCTAAACATCCTCATAAGTAACTGCGTTAGCAGCATCCCACAAGTTCTGATGTTGTCTTTTCAGTTCATTCTGTTCAAAATATCTTCTCATTTCATTTTTCACTTTTTTCAACCCATGGGTTACTTAGAAGTAAAGTGTTATTTAGTTCCTAAACATTTGCAGATTTTACAGAAATCTTTCTGTTATTGACTTATAATTTAATTCCAGTGTGATCTGAGGAAATATTTGTATAAAGTGAATTGTTTTAAATGTATTGTTTTACATTTATTGAGGCCCCAAATACAGTCTGTCTTAGTGTGTCGTATGCACTTGATACGAATGTGTATTTGCTTTTGTTAGGAAGAGTGTTCAATACATGCCGGTTGGGTCAAGTTGCTTGATTCTATAGTCTCACTGATTTTCCGTCTACTCATTCTATCAATGTTCAATTAAATGGACAGGAGTTCTTGTCCTGATGGGGTGGTAAATATTAAATAATCTCACAAATCTATAACTATCAATGGTGATTCATGTCAGACATTTGCTCTGGCAGAAATTGGAAAACAGGACTAAACAGCACAGAATCACAGGAAGTCCTATATATGTGCTGGCTTCTATTATCTTATTAGTAACATTCTTCCTATTATTATTTGTTCTATTATTTATCCATTTCACATTTCCTGAGCATCACTTTGGACTGTGCAAGGAGGCAAAGCTTCAAGAGATGGTCTTTGTCCTCCAATTGGACAGACCCCCAATGCCGTGTGGAAAGTGCTGTAATTAGAAACCAGGAGCCCAGAGAAGCACAGTCTGCCCGGGAGGGGATATGGGAGATCCTGAGCTGGGAATGGAGGTGGGGTGCCTCCTGGAGGCACTGGGAGTGCCTTGGAACTGCAAGGACTGATAGGAAGAGATTCAAAGGATTGAAAGCTAGCAAAACCGCTTTGTTGATTCCCCTCATTCTCTGGTGCAGACCTCCCTCCAGGAAACCTGACAAAGGTGAGGTGTCCCCTCCTCTCTCTAACCCAGTGGTTCTCAACCTTCTGGCCCTTTAAATACAGTTCCTCATGTTGTGACCCCCAACCATAAAATTATTTTCGTTGCTACTTCATAACTGTAATTTTGCTACTGTTATGAATTGTAATGTAAATATCTGATATGCAGGATGTATTTAGGCGACCCCTGTGAAAGGGTCGTTCAACCCCCAAAGGGGTCGCGACCCACAGGTTGAGAACCACTGCACCCCTTCCCCACCTCTCGACCTCTCCCCGCCCCCACCCTGGCCCCTTGCACACATGGTGGTGGGGGGTTTTGCTCAGCTGGGCCCCTTAGCCAATTAACACTCTTTGCATCTGAAAAGCTCAATCAGCTCCTCGGAGGTGTTAGAGATCAGAGTAATTAAGGTCTCTTTCTAATGCAAATCTAACCAGAAATTGAATGTTTGTCTCCTTGGAAAATTAGGGTCCCGAGTTTTACAAGGAGGCAGTGAAATTCAGAATGGGGAGGTGATGGCTTCAAGAACTAGAGGCCAATTTGTTTGGACGCTCTCCAGAAATATTTGATTCAATTAAATAAAAATTGACTCCCTATGGCAGCAGAAGTAATATTTTTAAAGTGCCAATCGCATCCCCTCTCTCCCCTGGTCCCTGATGCACTTGCAATAAAACTCAAGGCCCAACGTCATCTGGCCCCTGCCTCCCCCACACACCTTCATCTCAGGCCCCTTTAAAAAGTGCTTGTCACACGTTGCAATTATTTTATTTATAGGCTGGCCTCCCCCACATCATTAAGTAAATACATCCACGATACTACTCACCCTGGAGCACAATATATAAAGTTGTCCGAGTGAAAAACGGCTTGGTCGCAAATTAGCACTTGCGATTTGGAATATGCCCTAGAGCCATTCAGAATAGGGCTCATACTGAAAACTGCCACTGTTTCCCCCTCTGCACCATCGCCCCTTCTCGGCCCTCACCCCACACCCTGGGTGCCGGCCGTAAGGCAGCAGCAGCCGGTTCTGACCTCTGGTTGTGTCACAGAGGTCAACCTTCTGGAGAACTAATGCTCTCGCTCAGAGGTGCCCCTCGGCTTCCTGAGCACTTTTCACAAGTGGCTTTTTTAAGTCAGACACAAACATAACCTCCAAATACAAAGAAAATTCCCCAGCCATGGGAACAGACAGACAGAAACCACCTTTTATTGAACTAAGTTGTGACTCTTCATTTTCCTGTCTCCCCACTGGGAATGCATGCTCTGCCCGGGAAGGGTGGACCAGGTCTATCTCGTTAACCACCTATCCGAAGCTTCCAGAACAGTGCCTGCCACTTGAGGGATGTTCCAGAAACATGAATATTTTGAATAAATGTGTTTTCTGAAACGGCGGTGTATGGGCTTGGTGCCAGCACCACGGGCACAGAGGTGGCCAAATACAGACTCAGCCCTGGGGGAGCTCATAGCCCAGCAGGGAGACCCAAAGGACCAAGGAATTATGCGTTCACTAAGCACCTGAGTGCCCCCTACAGTGGAGTCAGGCCACAAGTGCAAGGACAAGACATGAATTCCATCATGTGAGTTTGGGGGTTGGTTTGGGGGGTGGGGAGAAAGGAAGCAAGAAATGATTGCCTTCCCATTGTTGGCAATTTCCTGAGCTAGGAGGGATCCCAGCACCCCGTTTATTCACCAAGCACTGCTGGAGCCAGGCATTGCTCTGGGCACTGAGAATACACTGACAAATTAAGTCTGTCCGTCGTTAAGTGAATCAGTCTGATAGGCGGCAAAGATGGGCAAAAATAAAATAAAAAGAACACATATCATACTATCAAGTCCCACGGTCACAACAGACATAAATGTGAGTCCAGGCATCTCACAGAAGTGAGCATGATTTACCACAATGAGAGAGTACAGTGAGACTTCTTGGAAAAGACGATGCCTGAGTTGGGTTTTGACAGACAAATAGGAGTTTTCCAGGCAAAAGAGAGGAGAATGGCATTCCAGGCCAAAGGCACACCAGGTGCAAGGGTACAGACATGTGAACCAGCATGATGCATTTGAAAAACTGCATTTGGGGTCACTGTCAAAGTGTAAAGTGAAAAGGCCGAGATCTCGGGGAAATGAGACAGGAGACGTAGCAGGGCCCAGATGCTGGAAGGTTATTTCTGGACTTTATGCCTCAAGCTACACGGGACCAGTGCTGGGGTTTAAGTACAACAATCATGAATCAGCTTTTGATTTGCAATAAAACACCCCAAATCTCAGTGGCTTAAAACAACAATCAGTGTTTTTTTACTTACGCATCTGGGGTCAGCTGGATGTTGGCTGGTTTGGGCTGAGGTGGTTTGGCTCTTATCCACGAGTCTCATCTTCCTTCTGGTAGCGCCAGGCCAGCCCGGGCATGTCTTGCTCATGGCAGAGGCCCAAGCGTGCAAAAGGAGACATGCAAAGTATCTTGAGGCCTGGGCTCAGACCTGTCAAGTCATCCCTTCCACCTTATTCTGTTGACCACGTGAAGTCATGTGGCCTAGTCCAGATTCAAGGGCATGCACCTGCAAAGTCATATGACAAAGGCCATGAGTATAAGAAGAACGGAAGAACTGGGTCCAACAATGCACTCTAGCACAAGTGATGTGATCAGATCTCTGCGTTAGGTCTCTCACAGCAATGTGGAGGGTGGATTAGGAGGGATAAGGCAGGCTCAGAGATTCAGGCATGAGCTAAACGAATGCCCCAGGATCCCACAATTCACTCTTCCCTCTATTCCACGCACTGGGATTTAGCCAGATCAGGCAAAGGAGGGGCTTATCCTTTGTTCGATTCTAAGAGCTCATTCTGAGCACTTTGGTCCTTGCAGTCGTGAATACGAACCTTTGAAATAAGCAGATAAAGGCTAATATTCAATAAACTAGTGAACAAGGGTTTTCTTTAACTCTCTTGGAAAAGACATCTCTGAGACAAAAACAAAGCTGAGCTGCAATATTGGATAAGCCCCACTGATCACAAGAAAACCTAACATAGGTAATTGAGTATTGGCAAACGCAACAGAACCAAATAAAGCAAGTAATTAACAATTACTGTGCTCCTAGGTAATGGAACTACAAATCCAGGCTGTCTAGGTGTTTGTCCCAGGCATCAGATAAGAACAAAGTGTTTGTTAGTGGGTGAGTAACCCAGGTGTGAAATTCATTTTGTTAGACAAATCTGAAAATAGGCTTGAACCACGCAACGGGAAAGAACAGAATTCATCGAGGCTTGCTCACTGGGGGCACACAGGGAATAAACTCCTGGCTCTGGTTTTTGTTTAAAAAGGGTGAGTTGTGGTAGATTGTTTCCAAAACTGACCCCAGTTATTTCTCTTCCTGAATCTTTGTTGCTCTGTAGATGAGACTTTGTAGCTCTTCCCATTAAGATATGGAGTCTCTTGCCCGACCCCTTGAGACTGTGACTAGCTTTGACCGTTACACTGTGGCAGAGATGACATTATGCTAGTTTCCATTGTAAGCCTTAAGGGCCATTGCACCCTGCAATTTGCTCTCTTGGGACCCTTGTTCCTGCCATATGAACAAGCCCACATGAGGCTACGGGAGATGAGTTAATGAATCACCCCAGTTGTCCTGGCAGCAGCCCCAAATATGAAAAGTTTAGCCAAAATCAGCAAAGCCAATCTGCAGCTGACCACAAGAGCAAGAGGAATCCTAGCCGAGGCCAGAAAACCTGCTGGCTGAGCCCAACCTAAACAGCCGACCTACAGAATCTTGAGGTTAATAAAGGATTGTTATTTTAAGCCACTAAATTTTAAAGTGATTTGTTACACAGTAATAGATAACAGATCTAGGAATATTCTACATCAAAACACCTGGACACCAATTAGCACTTGGATAAAATAATGATATCACTGCTACCAATTACTGGGCACCTACTGTCTACTGGGAACTTTGTGTATCTGAAACTTTTCTGGGTGCTTCATGTACATCACCTTATCTCATCCTTGAAACTCTTCAAGGCAGAGTTATTTTTCACCATTTTGCAAATGGGGCACATGAAGAAACTGAGGCTGCGGAGACAACTTGCCAAAGGTCACACAGCTATTGTCTAGGATTACATACGATGTATAGCTATACATGTATAGGATGGATATAGGGTGAACACACTCCTAGGCAAGTAGGGCCTCTCAGAGGGAGTCCTGAGCCACTTCTGACTTTTGAAGTGCTTGTATACTAATAAATAAAGATATAAAGAAACAGCTACCCTAATTGTGATGTATTTTAATTCTTTACATTTATTAAGTGGCCACTTTCAATATCAAAGGAAAGGGCAAAGCAATAAAACTGCTAATCACAAGATCACAGCATTTATTTAAAAGCATATTAATTTATAGTGTACTAAAAGTGATGTGCTCAGTAATGGGATGCAAATGCTACTTTGTCAGCTGAGCATTTTCCGCTTTCATCTGTCAGTGTATCCATGTGGTGGGACATATAACCTACATAACCTTTCATGAGGTCAGGCCCAGCCACAGGGCCTTCCTGGCCACCCCCACACCCAGCCCAAGCCCCCAAGAGGGGCCCGTGCATGGGCCAAAGGAATCCATTCTCAATGCTCAAGCAGCCCTCACTGAGAGATGCGCTCCCAGGGAGGGCTCTCAGAGAAACTGAATTTCCTCCCCTCATCAGAGAATGAAGTCATCTTGATGAGGACACACAGGACATCCCAGGTGCCCAGGGAGTTAAATTCCCAAATCTGACCTTTTTCTTAGCCAGGGGAGAGGCGAGAGCTGGTCGCACAAGCAGGCTCAGTTCAACTCCCCATCCCAGGGCTGAAAGGGACCCAGAGGTTCCACATATACCACCCTCATGCCATCCTCTCTAGAGCCCCCTGACAGGAGCCCCTCACACACCTCCAGAGGTGGGAGATCACTACGTCTCAAGGCTGTCAATTACATCTTCAGGTGGTCTGCCTGCTACAAATTCTTCCTTTTGCTGAAAAGGAAATGGGCCTCCTCACAACTTCAATGAACTGGTCCTGCCTTTGGCCTGCGGAGAACTAACTTTCTGGGGACTTAGGAGGGGATGTTGAGGGGGAGAGGTGTCCAGTGATAGAAAAAGAAAAGGGAAGAGGGAAGGCGCTAAAACTGTCTTTCCCAATTTACGGCGAGGCGAGACCATCTCATATCCCTGCTCATAATTCTTATTCATATCGGTCACACATCATCTTGCCCATTCTGCCGTGGTAGATGCTGAGATCCTTGTAAACCCCAGCTCCTTCAGAAGACCCAAAACGCATTTTCTACGGGATCCTGTGCAGAGAGCTGGTTGCTATGGTAACAATTGGATGTAAATTTCCCAGAACCCCCAACTAGACTATTAATCAGAAAGATGAAGAAAGGGCCAGGCCATAAATAAATCAGTTAAGAAATCATCTCCTACTGGAAGGACCAGGAGCAGGGCCACCACTACCCCACCAAGGTGACAACTCACCCCTCCTTGTGAGCCTCTGAAGTGAGAGGAGGGGCAGCTGGAGCTCTGGAGGGGATACTGCCTCACTCCCCTCTCCAGCTGTTTGTCCCTCATCCTTGTGGGGTCCGGGAGGTCTGGCTATGGCAGCTGCACTGGAGAGTGAGGAGAAGGGCCAGGAACATCAAAGGCAAAAATGTTGGACCCTGAAGACCATGTTCTGGGAGGCCTGATAGGAGTTCTCTATGAACTGTGGAGATGAGAAGGGCTTAGATTCGGCACTGATGGATGACAGAAGAGTTAGAGTGATGGGGCCGCATTTTAACTGGAAGTTGCGGGGTTTGTTTGGTTGGTTTTTCTCCTCGAGGATTTTATCTTGCTTTTTAAAATGTTTCTATTCGGCTGTCTTAATGAGTGCTATGAGAGGGCTTGCTAAGCCTCCCAAGGGAAGTAGACCCACCAGGAAACTGGCGGGTCCCCCCACCAGCCTGTTGCTGCTGGGGCGGGGATGGGGGTGGGGGGGGATGAGGTACTTGCTCTGATAGAAACCAGTCCTGGAAGGAAAGCTACAAAGGCTGCTCCTCCCGCTACCCTCTCCAGTCCCCCCCCCCCCCCCCCCCCCCCCCCCCCCCCCCCCCCCCCCCCCCCCTCCCCCCCCCC